TGTTTTTTAAAAAATATTTTCTATTAATTTTTATTCTTACCCTATAATTATGACTTTCCCAACCTCTCATAATGGTAAGCAATCTGTAGCCTCCCTAGTATTTTATTCCCATGCTAGTTATCATCAGCTGCACATCCTTCCACATCTCAGCTTTGACATCTGTAAGTTGAATGTTCTACACCAGTTCTGTTTTTCCCCCATTCTCAGTAGTGATGCATAATAGATGCTTACCATCCCAAGCATGGCAAACTTTCACATTTTGAAGACCAATTAATTTTACACAAGTGTATATGCTTAAATAATAGTCATTAATAAAAGTTTATTGATGTTTAACAGAAAAATGTGCATAGAAATAAAGGTACAGCTTAGTGATTTATCAAAAACAAACACCTGTGGAACCACATCTAGGTGGAGGAATAAAACATTGCTATACCCAAGAAGTTTGCCTTGTGCTCACCTAATCACCACCTATCTTTCTCTTCCCAAGAAGAAACCACTTCAGAATCATAGTATTATTTGCATATGACATCTTTTGGCTCAGTATTATGTTGATCACTTACTGTGTTCCATTGCGTCATTATACCAGAGTGCATTTATCCATTTTACTGTCGATGGACATTTATGTTATTCAGAATTTTTGGCTCTATGATTAATGTTGCAATGGAATCCTATGTCTCTTGTTGAAATATACTTACATTTCTATTTATTATATAACTACAGCCTGTACAACTATTGGATAAAGTATGCATATATTCCACTTTACTCCAGAATGCTTAACCGTGTTTATAAAATTGCATTCCAACAAGCATAGTGTGACAGATCTACTACTCTTTATCCTCTCCAACACTTGATATTTTAGTCTAATATTAGCAGTTCTGGTTAGTGTGTATTAAGTATTGCACTGTAGATTTAATTTGCATTTTCTTGATTATTTATGAAATTGAGTACTTTTTCATAGGTTTGTGCAATTTGGCTATACTTTTTTGGTGACATGACTGTTCAAGCCTAGTAGTGCCTTTTTCTTATATCTTGTGAATATAAGTCCTTTGTTCTATTAATGCTGGCAAGTTCTAAAGTGTTATGTTCCTATTAAAATTCCTGATATTAATTGCTTTTCCTCTTTTTTACATAAATTTCAGGTGTACATTATAATTCAATATCTGTATACTATATTGCTTGCTCAAAAAGTCTAATTTCCTTCCATTACCATATATTTATCCCTCTTTACCCAAACACCACTCTTCCTCTGGTAACCACCATTCTGTGTGTATCTGTGAGTTTGTTTTTGTTGGTTTGGTTAGATGGTTTATTACTCTAGTTTTATATTCTACACATGAATGAAATCATGTTTTTTGTCCCTTTCTGTCTATTTCACTTAGCATAATACTCTCAAGATCCATCCATGTTGTCACAATGCAGTAATGGCTGAGTAGTGTTCCATTGTGTGTGTGTGTGTTTGTGTGTATGTGTATGTGTATGTGTGTGTATGTATATGTGTGTGTATATATATATATCATAGGGGTATATATTTCTTTACAAATTAATGTTTTTATATTTTGGGAGTAAATACCTAGAAGAAGAATTGCTGGATCATGTAGTAGTTTTACCTAATTTTTAAAGGAATCTCCATGATGGTTTTTTTTCAAGGCACAGTATACATTTTATTCTGCATGGTTGTTGTACAAAAAAGCCCCACTTCCCTTGAGAAACAGTATTATGTAAAACACACTTTGAACACTGAATATTAAAATATTACATAATACCATATAAATGAAGTGAACAAAAATAACACAGCCTTCCACCCTTCAATATTCTAAGAATATACCACAGCATTGATAATATGAAGGAAAATGCTTGGAATTGTGTTTAAATTCAAAATTCTTCGGGTTGTTCTCCACTGGGAGGCGAAAAGGTAATCAGGTTACCACCAAAGGATGTGTTTGGCATGTTCTCGACGTCTCCTCAACAGGAGTGTTTAGGCCTGTTGAATCAAGAAGATGACATTTAGTCATAGACTTTTATTATCAAATAACACTGACTGGGAAATTTTAGTCTCTTCTTGTGAGATGTTATTTCACATTAGTGGCTGCACCAATTTACAGTCCCACCAACATTTGTTATTTCTTATCTTTTTGATGATAGCCATTCTAATAATGATGTTGAACACATATTTTCATATGTCCATTAGGTCCCTTGCCCATTTTTAAATTAGATTGTTTGCTTTTTTTTTGTTACTGAGTTGTCTAAGTTCTTTATAGATTTTGGCTATTAGTCCCTTATTGGGAATATCATTTGCAAATAACCCATTTGGTTGGTTGCCTTTTAGTTTGTGGATTGTTTCTTTTGCTATGCAGAAACTTCTTAGTTTAAAGTAGTCTCCATTATTTTTGCTTTTGTTTCCCTTGCCGTTTGAGTCAGGTTCACAAAAACATCTTCGAGAGCAGTGTCCTTTAATTTAGAGCCTATGTTTTCTTCTATATGTTTTAGTTCTTACATTCAAGTCTTTAATAAATTTTTAGTTAATTTTTGTGTATGGTGTAAGATAGCAGTCTAGTGACATTCTTTCACATATGGCTGTACAGTTTTTCCAGCACCACTTATTAAGTAGACTTTCCTTTCTCCATTGTATGTTTTTGGCTCCTTTGTCACAAATTAGTTGACCATAAGTATATGGTTTTATTTCTGAGATCTCAGTTCTGCTCTATTGGTCTGTTTTCTGAAAATATCATATTCTTTTATTAGATGCAAAAATCCTCAACAAAATACTAGCAAATCTATGTTCAGAGCTATTGGCCTGTAATTTTTATTTATTTATTTTTGTGATGTCCTGGTCTGGTTTTGATAACAGGTAATGTTGGCCTCATAAAATGAGTAAGAAAGCATTTTTCCTCTTCATTTTTTTTCAAAGAGTTTGATATGGATAGGTAAATCTTTTAATGTTTGTTAGAATTCACCAGTGAAGCAATTTTGTCCTGGACTTTTATCTTTTGGGTGGCGTTTGATTACTATTTTGTTGTTGTTTTTTGTTTAAATCACCATATTATTTGCTTCCTATTTATCTCATCTGTCCTAGGTTCTTTCCCCCTCCCCCATTCTTGCATTTTAAAAAATGGATTTTGAAAACAATTCCATCTTTCCATATGTTTTAAAGGACCCCTATTCAGCTATTATAATTTTTTTAAATGTAAAATGTAGAAAGTAAGTTAATTCTTGAGTTTTATGTATACATAATTTTATACTTCCTTTTGAAAACATACATTCTTTTCCATGAAAACTATTTAATGGCTACATGGCAATGTATTACATATGGCATTATAGCATGTTTATAAAATTGTACATATATATTTCTTTAATCATTTCCTATTGGACATTTAGGTATTTCTACCATTATTTTACATTGTAAATGATAAAATGGGCCATTTCAGACTTCATAGATCTTTATTTATATTCCCTTTCTGATTTTTAAAAGGAGTTTTACAAATATTAAGTATTTTCAGATGTATAATTTATTGAAATTCTCTTAATCTTTAATCATAAATGATTAAAAGAGCCCTAAAGTAATTAGCCAGGTATTAACTAATAATTTCTGCATGTGTGTATATTGGTGAAATTGGCCCATATTTTATCACCTTTGACATCCTAATAAACATCTGTTTAAAATGATGTATTACAATGATCAATTATGATTTGCCTTGTACTGTTTTTCTGATTAGGAACTGTGTACTTACCCAATCAATGGGGTGATCAACTTTGCTAAATTAAAGGCCAATAGGTGAAGAGGAAGAAAGGGGAGGAGTCTAATCTATTCAGTATCAGTATTTCCAAAATAATGTTTGGATAATGGGACTGTTTCATTTCCTCACCAATTCTATGGCAACAACCAGTTGTAACATTTCCAAACATACCTGTGCTGTACTTTGACTTACCTTGACTCATTTGGTTGATTTGCAGCCAGTTGTTCATCTCACGATATATTCATTGCTACTTGGCAAGATGACGGCCACCTTAAATCCTTCTTGACCGGACAACTCAAGCCCATTCTCTCCTCCCCTCCCTACTGGCGTTCCTGAGAGGATCACTTATCCCGAGTCAGGTCAACGAGGGCCAAGAAGTATCCATTCCACACCACGATGTCTTTTTGTCCTTTTGGTAAGTAAACTTCCACGTGCCTGGTTTGTGGTGTTAAGATCCCAAAGCTTTGAGGTAGCTCAAAGTATGCTTAATGCTGACACTCAGAAAGTAGAAACCAGGACAGGGGAACTGAGAGCTGATGATATCACCTGAACCCCAAATCTAGTTGCACAAAATTGGGTATTCCTAACCTTTTAATATATGAGCCAATAAACACTTTTCTTTTTGTGTAAGCCAAGTTGTCAGACTTTCACTCACAATAGAAAGTCCTAACTTTATGGGTCCTCTGACTTCCCTCGGAGCACTTGTCACAGTGCAATTTTTATCATTATTTACTTAATGACAGCCTCTCTGCCATTACCGTAGTCTCCATGCAAGCGGCATTGGTATCTTATTTGTTCACAGCTGCTTCCCTAATGCCTAGGACAGTTCTGATTCATTACTGGCACTCCATGCCATACTTTTCTTAGCTATGTTCCCCAAGAGTTTAAGAAACTAATATCATGGAGTTTTAATTTTTGTATGTGCATGAGAGCTGACAATTATTTCAGGATGAAAAACTTGTATATATTATAATGCACTTGCATAAATTTATATGGTAGTCATCTCCCACAGAATTAAAGATTGCCCACGATCTCTAAATGGAATGAAAACCAAGACCTCTTTCTTTGCTGTTAAAACTTAGGCGAACTTTCTCGGAGCCTCAGTTTGCTTACCAGGAAAGGGGCTTACCACCAGGCAGGTATTTGTACATAGCCTCTTGGTAAGTGGACTTACTATTAGTACAAAGAAACTAATCAGATAACCAGGGGGAACCTATATAACATTCAAAACCAAGTGGTTGAGTGGACAAAAGCAAAGGCCAGGGCTGCATTACACTGACATTTTTATTAGAATTTATCTGTAACAAATGGAACTTGTGTCAGCAAAGAACTGATTTTCATACAGACTTCTTTCGCCACCAATGTAACGAAGTAAGAAAATAAAAAGCACGCCTTTCATTCTGTAAAACATTTACGCGTACTACTAATTAGAGGTAATTGTATTTTTTAACAAGCCATTTTACAAGTTATTTTTTTTTTAATTTTTCAGTCTATGCATCCAAAATGAGAGCAAAGAACACAACTGTTATTATCGTTTTAGACACTCCAAGCTTGGATGGCAAAGCCACGTAACGGATGGAGAGGATGGACCTGCAGCCTTCTGACCTCTGCTGGAGTATCAGGGCACCCATAAACCCAGCGGCAACAAAACCCAACAGAGGAGAAAGAAAAGGTAAGTGAAAAATCAAAAGGAGGGGCTAAAACCAAAGCAAAACCGAGAATAAACGGGAAAGAAAAAAAATCTGTACATTACTGCAGAATTTTTCCCCTTCCTGTTTCTACGCCGAGTTATTTACATACACACAAATGAATTTCTGAAGCAGTTTCTTACAGATGGGTTCAAGTAATAACATTATTGGGTGTAGAATCAATAGGGCAGTGCATAGTACAAAGGTATAGAAAGTGCAAAGTTCCCTAGAGGCCCTTCCCTCCCCTGGCTGTCCTCACCGTTGTCTAACCATGCAAATCATTTTTAAAAAAGAGCTAAAATAAAGTTCTGTACAAATCACTTCTTATATATTTTGATTTTTTACCATTGTAACTAATTACAAAATTATACATAACTACACGTACATAGGTAAATAATAGCACCGTACTGGTTATGATGATGAAAATAATTGGAAACTTGAGCGTCTATATGGTAATGGCAGATAAAGATGTTCACCTGGGAAAATCAAACTAGAATGGTTTGTACAGAAAAGCACAGAGTGTGGAATGCACATCAATGACAGGAGGGAGTTAGTTCTCGGAACAGCTCCTGAACAGGAGGATCCCTGGAAGTCTCCGCCTGGTTCGTCTATGGTATGCATCCCATTCGTTTCCTTCTTAGGATTCTTTTCCTCTTTCCCTTTGCCAAACGGGCGGTTTTTGTCTCGGGGAGAGAAACTGCTCATTGCGCAAGGGTTCTGGTGTGCAGTACACCATCTGATTCAACATGGCATGTCGGCATAATGCGATGTCTGTCTAATGACCCTCTTTGTTTCGCTAAATGAAAATTACAGCACTGAGTAATCTGGCACTTGGATAACTCTCCAAAAGGTACGAACTGAAAGGAAACACACCCACATAGTGCACATTCTTCTCTGGTTCTGATGTAGGTTAGAGAGTCTCATTCTGAGGTAGCCTTCTAGATACTTTTTTTTTTAAAGTATTATACATTATTTTCTTTTTTTCTTCCTTTTTTTCTTTTTTTTTTTTTTTTACAAAAGTGCTCATATATGATACTTGCAAGTGTTTGGTCTCTTGGATTTCATTCTGTTAGTGATGGGAACATGTAGAAAACAGAACATCAATGGAGCTAAGATTAAACCAAAATATTATACCTCTATGGACACTCTTTATGAGTTCCTTGAACATTTGGAGGATTCTTTAAAATTGTGGAAGATATGGCAAGCTCCTGCCATCATCCATGGCTTCCTATAGTAATTTGGGGGGAGATATATACACATATTTTAAAAATGTCCCCTTTTAGAAAAAATCCTAATGGAATAGCAAATATATTCCAAAGTGGTCAATGATAGTTGTTACTAAAATAAGTTTGGTGCCTTTTCTGGATGTTCCAGAGCAGATTTGGAAGGGATTAAAAATAAAACCAGTGGCTTTTCCTGATGTGGACAATTATAAAAGGAAGAAGGGCCCTGATTATCCAAGTGCTTTGGGCTGGTACAATCACTAACCTCCCCGACCTGGTTGAGAACTAGGAATGCATATTATTCAAAGAGTTTCTGTACATGTGGTAAACAGATAATGCTTTAATAGGAAGAGTAACATATACGAACAACTAATGGAAATACGAACCAAAAGCTAAAAAGAAATGCTATTAAAATAGGCATCAATTATAAGGCACTCTAAATGCAAAACTAAAACCAAAAAGAAAACAAAGAACAGCACTTCCCAGGAATGCTGTATGCCACGAAATGTTTCTGACTGAACAGAGTAACATGAGTTTGGCTTTGCCCCTGTTACATATCATAAATGCAAATTTCATAGCACATACTATAGACAATATACGATTGAATACACTTTTTTTAAACAACTTGATAGCTGATATATTAAAACATTCTCCCCTCCTAAAGGGATATGCACTGACCTTTCCCACATGCACACCTCTTAGATATTTAATATGTTTTTTATTGCACTAGAGTTGTTAGAAATATCGAACTTTGTTGGAAGCCTGGCTAACAAAATGGTACTTGTGAATATGGTTAGGTGGGTGGGGGGAGATTGGGTAGGAAATTAGGGGGTGAGGTTTGACAATCACTGATGTGCATTCCTCATTGCCCTTAAAAAATTAAAATTTTGTGATATTAAGAAATACCAATGTCATAAAATAATTGAAAAAGATGTTTATAATAGCTTTTCTACCTTAAAAAAATACTAAACCATGGAAGAACTGAATGATAGCTATCTCTATCATTTTGTGTGAACACACTGTCTATATATACATAGACACCCCTATAAAATACGGATATATATGTATATATGTTAGCAGCAACTTTATACTTTGCGCCTCCCTGTTGATTCTAAAAACAAAACACAACTCTTTGATTATTTGAAAAGAATGGGTACTTTCTTACCAAACAGACAGAAGTGTAAAAGTAATATCTGATGAAACCAATACTGTAGATTAAGAGTATTGCACAAAAATGTGCAAAATTTCATATGTGATATTTCTACAGCAAGATATGACAGATAACAGTTGTACAGCTGAAAAAAAACCCCTACAATTTGGAAATAAAAAAAATGAAGAGTTATGTAACCTTTTTAAAATTTACTTTATAGAATGATAGATACATTTTGTTAAAAAAAAGTTTACACAGTTAAAAATGAAGCACAGGTCAGCAGTATCTTACAATACTAAAAAACTAAATCAAAGACTTTCTTTTTAAACATTCCCCCCTTTTCTCCCTCAAATGTTAGTATGAGCAATATGGTGGGAAGGGGTCATGTCGAAGCAGTTCGTGTTACCATGAGAAGCCACACCAGCAGACATCCACGCGGCACTCCTCCTTGTACCTAGTGAGTGATCCTGAACAAGATGCTGGTTCTTTGTTGAGATTTCTTCTTCCCTTTATTCTGAATCCTTGAGGTATCTGTAAATAAAATCCTCCAGATCCCTCATCAGTCAGGATTCTCTTATTATTTTCAGGTTAGATTATTAAACTGGGAATTCTTGGTCCGCCCGGAAGAGTTTTTATTTTTAGTTTATTTTGTGTGTAATAGTCCCACTAAGGGGTTGTTACCTAGAAGTTAAGAAGGACTTCTCAAGTGCCCTGTATGGCTCAGAAGAGACTCCATGGGTATTGAAGGGCCCGCTGTAAAAATCCAAAATGGGTCAGGGGTTTCTACGTTGCATAGTGATCAAAGCTGCCCAGGTACTCGAGTGAGGCTCGATAGCAGAACTGGTACTGGTCCTGCAGGGGGAAGGCATGGCGAGAAAGACGAGAAGGGGCCATGAGAACAGCACATCAGAAAAGTGAAAATCAGTGTTAGAAAACAAAGTTGCATCTCGTTGAGGGCAAAATCACTACTTTCGTCAATCAATCCAATCCAACGACCAATCGATTTTAGCGAGCAAAGAGCGATCAGCCACATGGGGTGTTCATTAACCACCAATCAATTGGACTAAAATAGTCTCCCAATTCCAAGTAGTGACAGCTCCAATGAACATTATCTTCCAGACCAGTGTGAACCATTCTCCAAGTCATATCAAATAACCACCACCTATGGAACATGTGAGCTCCTTATACATCACAGTCCTCCTTTACAATTACCTGCTTATTTGTGATAACAGAACTCATTCTCGGTTTGCATACTTAAGAGATGCTGATGCAGACACACACTGTCCCAAGGAACATTTAGATTCACTTACCTCTGGGCTATTGCCAATAGAATTTAAATTTTAAAAAAAAGTCTTATTAAATTTTTTAAAAAGTCTTATTAGACAGTAGACCTTGCTACCTACAATCAGAATTACCCAACATCATTTCTGATATTCTTATATATTTGAGGGAGGCAGCCAAAAGGTATCTGGTGAGGCACACAGAGCCATTAATTTATTCAGGACTCTGGACTTGAAGATGTTCAACTCCTGAAAGTGGCAACACAAGACTGGCTGTCCACATAAAAAAATCCCTGTGCCACGGGCCTAATTCAGTATGACTGCTGCTTTAAAGGCCTACCCTAAAATAACAGTGTGAAACATGTCCTTTTTCAGACAGGGGAGAACACAGTCATTTAGGAATATGTTGGGGTACTATTGGAGAGATGGAAAAATTATAATTTACAGATGAGAAAAAGTAGGGTTTTCCTCGTAAAAGAAACTTATTTTCAGTAGCCAATGGGCCTGAAAGTAGATAGTTTCTATTTTGCTTAAATGTGCATTTTTCTACAATAAAAATGGTAATGCAAAATAAATGGAGTTTGCTTTCCTATCTTGTCACAGTAAGTTGCTTGGCTAAATGTTAAGGCTTTTTAAACGTCCAATTTCCCTCTGTCACCCCCAACACCTATTAGGTTTGTCACGCTGACATAATGTTTTGAGTATTGAAAGCCAAATGCTTGCACTATTTTGAAATCAAAGTCTGAAAGGTATTGTGAGTGACAAATTTAGGAACACATATAACCTACAGAACTTGTTGGCCTTTTGATAAACAAACACAATGTATCTATCACTCATATTATCCTTAGAAATGATTAGTCAATGGGTCAGACAGGCCAAATCATGAACTCATATTTTTCTGAGTAATATGAGAATTTGCATATTGATTATTGGACTAGAAAATGGGGGGCTAATTTCTCTAGGTCTTGTCCAGGTATTAAATATTTAAAATGACCATTATTAAGAAATCAGCTATAAAGCAGCTGATCTTTAACCCTTTTCGGTCTAACGTCCAGGCTGACTCGACAGACCAGGCGCTAGGAGCAGGTCCAATGTGGAGCTGAGGTCGACACCACAAACTGCTGCGATTATATGCATTGTCAGTAAGTTCAACGTTCAATCCTGTCAATTAATTTGGACCAGACTGTTTGAATTCCAAAAATAAAATTGGACCGCAAAGGGTTAACATCTAGGCATACAGAAAGAGTATGGAGTAGTACAATGGGCTGAGGGTCTATTATAAATCAGGCATTACAATTTTTATAAATATACCACACTAATATATTACACATTTATATGTAAATATTAGTTATGTGTATATAACAAACTATGCAAACTTGCCATTTTTAGAGGCCAAATATTGTTAAATAGTGACACTTTAATATGGTTCAATCTACCATATAATCTCACCTAACTCCAGAAACAACTCCAAGACATTGTCACTGTCACTCCCATTTAACCAAGGGATGGATGAGGTTCACAATTTTAAACAATTTGATACTTTTCCTACAATATTTTCCTGTACTTTGCCTCTGATGATCTCTGGACTCTAGAAGGTTCTGGCTAACAAAATCTCTTATTTGGCTCATGAAGATTTTTCTTACCTCTGTCTGTACCATGGCTGGTCGTTGTGTTCTCAACATTTTGACAGTCTGGAAGATATCTACAACTCCTTCATATCTCATTCTCTCCAGAACAATGCTTAGTGTTATGAAGACTCCAGTTCTTCCAACGCCCGCACTGTCACAGAAACAAAGGCAACATTCCTGATGAGATGCTCAAAGCCATGGCTACATTTACTTCTAAGTGGACATGTGTCCACTAGCTTTCAAAATGCATAATGTCTCCCACAGCCACAGTCAGGAAAATGTGGTGTTAAAATCACCCAATGATTACTCTTGGGATAATGTGTCATGGTAACGAGAGAATGAGTGTGGAATAATTAGGATTCAGTCTTCTAAATGACTTTCCAATTGGGATCATATGTCTTTTTGGAAAGATCAAGGAAACACATTATAAAATAAAGGAATAAAAGGAAACGTAAATAATTATAGATTTGTACTCTTCACGCAGATCCTGAAATTGTAAACCTTGCCTGCTTCATATTTTTAAAATATGAAGTAATTCAGATAAGGTGAGGTAAACTGAGCATGTTCAAGTTCTCTAGAGTTTTACTTCTTGTAGCCACTTAAAATTTGTTCAGGATGTCCCATCACCTAGACATGTAAATAGGAAGGTATATAGACTATTCAAACTCAGATATTTTTGATATGATAAGAGTTTCTTTATCAGGGTTTTTTTTTATACAGAATCCTAATTCAATTTTCAGAATGGGTCTATGAATACCTTATACATATGAGTTGTGAAAATTATATATATATATTTTCTGTTTAATGAAACATAAGTTTAAGAAGTCTCTAAGAGGGGTCTCTAACCTAAATGAAAAAAAAAACTAGTTAAGAGCTATTTCTTTATACAATTATATAGCATTTTAAACACCAGGATCCTTTTCACCACATTAACGAGTTTTTGAGTTTCTCTCTGTTTTCATTATTGTTTTAAGGTAATTTCAGGATCTTAGTGCAGCAAGAGAAGAAAATTAATTCATAGCTTTTGTGTTCTTAAGAAGTAGAAAAGCATCTGGAGGTTCAGGTAATGAGGAGAAGAGTGAATAATCTGAAAAATCCCTACATTTTTGGATCCTAATTAAATGGCCTGTGTAATGCTTGGGTACAGGCTGTAGAAAATGGATGGATTCATTTACTTGAGGATGTAGCTGACAAGCATATAAATAGTGTGTCCCTTTATAAACTGGGTTTTCTAAAGAGTCCTAGCAAATGTTAACTGAGGCTTTAAAATCTATGGATAGTCTTTACAAAGTGGCTGAGCATGTCCTGGAGCAGGCAAGGCTCTCTGTTAAGATGGAATAGATGACCTTGAAAATCTCTATCCTCAGAGACTATGATTTATGATCTTTTTGTTGAATGGTCTCTAGGTACTCTAGAGTCTATCTTACCTTGATTTAATTGCTCAAATGTGACAAAAAAAGGTGGGTGTTTTTTGTGTTGTTTTTTTTTGCTTTCTACCAGACACTTTTAGGAAAATAATAGGTACTGGCCTTATACCTTCTGAATTATTGACTGTATTATATTATTTTAATAATATATATATGTATATATATAAAAGCCTAAATGACCATCAAACTGTTCAACCGTTCGACCAGTAGCTATGACGCGCACTGACCACCAGGGGGCAGACTCTCAATGTACAGGCATGGAATCATGGAACAAACTGATGAATCTCAGCGGGGAGGGAGGGCGAGAACTGATTAACCAAAGATCTTATATGCATACACGGATTTGTGCACTGGTGGGGTCCCTCGGCCTGGCCTGCATCCTCTCGCAATCCAGGACCCCTTGGGAAATGTCGGAGAACCGGATTTGGCCTGATCCCCACAGGCCAGGCTGAGGGACCCCACCGGTGCACAAATCCATGCACCGGGCCTCTAGTAAATAAAATAAGTGGCATTTTTAGGATATTCCCAGATAACAGAAAATAATGGGAAGCCTTTAAGATACATATGGTATATGAAGTCATAGAATTTATACTATAGGTGTGTTTAAAGCATTTTGTGGTGACAAAAGCAATGGGAAGTCACACACACACATACACCTTTACATACTTATGGAATGCCTGAAGTTAATAATGTTTATTAAGTATATTCTTTTCTTTATATTGGACAAGTTTGATCAAGAATTTGGGCCAATTATATGGAAAATTAAGGGAATAGCCAGATAATTTAACTCTAATATATCTACTTTGTCTGAACTCTTAAGCCAATGTACTATTTCCTACATGCTCTTTGATTGTCTAGAGCAGTGGTTCTCAACCTTCCTAATGCCGTGACCCTTTAATACAGTTCCTCATGTTGTGGTGACCCCCAACCATAAAATTATTTTCGTTGCTACTTCATAACTGTAATTTTGCTACTGTTATGAATCGTAATGTAACGTATTTTCATTGTTACAAATTGAACATAATTAAAGCATAGTGATTAACCACAAAAACAATATGTAATTATGTATGTGTTTTCTGATGGTCTTAGGCGACCCCTGTGAAAGGGTCATTCAACCCTCCAAAGGGGTCACGATTCACAGGTTGAGAACCGCTGGTCTAGAGCCAAGGATTTTGGATAACTCAACACAAAGCAAATGTGTATAAATAAGGTCCCATCCTCATCCACTATGCAATGCCTGGGACACATAGTGTGCTAGGATCTCACAGCTCCTGAGAACACTGAGGTCCAGAGAAACATCCCTAGTGCCACAGAGCGACAGCCGACAGAGTGGAACCAGGACTCAGACATTGGAAGCCGCACTCGAACAGTTCTCCTATTTTGAGACCCTGTCTTCCAAGTCACTAGGAAATGTAGTTGGTTTTTGTCATTCCTTTTTGAAGCAAAATCAATTTAATAAACTCAAGATTTTGACCATAAAGAAATTAAAAACGGAGACTTCAAAAGTTGCTAGAACCCTAAAATAAGTGAATTCCCTTTGTTGGAAGATTTTTGCACAGAAACTTCCAAAAGCACTGAATTTATGGTGAGTGTCCTCTCTGAACCATTTACTTTCTATATCTATTAACTTTAATACCTGAATTATAAAATCCTGTGGAAACTATTGAAAATAATTAACTTGAAGGTGCTTCATTTTCTGATACAGTCACAATTTTCAAACAAATTACAATTTTAACTAAGGTACCATTCTAATCACTTATTGACTGGCAAAAATTAGTATTGTCATTAAGGCTTGATAACTATTTATGGTTTCCCAAGAAGACAAACACAGGAGTAAGACACGACTAACTGAACTAATTTTCTCAAGGGGATCTACAAAAAGTCAGACACGACTAACTGAACTAATTTTCACAAGGGGATGTACCAGTAATTCCTGTTAAAATAGGCCAGAGAAACACAGTGTAGTTCTTTGTTACAAGAGGTAAAAGTTGGGGATAAAAACCTTTCCCTGGCTATTTTCCTTTTGTGGAAGGAAAGAGAAGTGAGTACTTGCTTTAGGTTTTACAATACATTTTTTTGAGAATAAAATGTCTATTATGCAGATTTACTACAAGAAGCTTGTCCTGACAATAGACAACAATACATAGTTTCAAAGTTACCACCACATTAATCACAAGTGGAAACTCCCCATTCCTGATTCTTAGCTCACCTGCAATGGACTGAAATGGGTCCATCTTGGCCAAACTGCTCTTTTGTTTTGTGAACTTGGCCAATGAAGTCAATAAATCCTTCTCCAGACTTTGGCACGCCTTGCTCTGGCCAGTCAGTGAACTGGAACTGTCTCACTGTTCGGGACTGACCGTCCTTCAGGGAGAAAGCCACACCCAGCCAGAGGGCGCCAGGAGGGTTCAGCCACGCACAGGCACAGCAGCAAACATGATGGTTTTTCCAGAAAGAAAGAAAAAATGGGGGGGAGGGGGGCACATATTTAACTAGGAGCTTACATACATATCTTATCTGCTAGGAACACTGTCTCCATTCACATATTTATTTACATTGCAAAATTTTTTTTTTCTCTCACAATTCCCACCTCATAAAGAGTCATCTAGTTCCTATATTAGTACGTTTTGAGACCCAAAGTTTGCCTCTGAAACCCAGGTGGAACCTATACACTCTTCTAAAAATTTGTGAATCCAATCACTTCTTAATATTGAAAGGAGCGTCCAGGCATGTCATCGAGAGCAGACAGTTTGCTATTGACACAACTTTGCGTGTGCTGGGCTTGCTTCTTTCTAGCATTGCGAAATGACCAACAGTGACATGGAAAAGAGCGGACACAGATGAGGTAGCGGCTGTTAACCTGGACGGCCCACATGTCTCAGAGGCATACAATTTCCAGACAATGGCAGGACATACAACATGCGCCTTGTGACCGACTATGCTGCTGGGTAGGAAGTGAGGCATCCCTCAAGTAGATCAGAGAGATTGCTAGCACACAAATGCTCTATTCTCCAAAAGGACTCTTCCTGGCTGACCACGTGTAGGGGGTTTGAACTCAGACAAAGCCAAACACGGAGAGGAAACAGGTGATGGAAAAGAAGAGCTTTTTTTTTCTACAGTGATTAGCAAGCAACACTGCTTTGACTCATGAAGTATAAATGGTTTGAAAAGAAGATACTAAGGCATTGCTGATTCCTCCCGGAATTTTACAGTATTTTTGGAAGCACAACAAAAGCAGAAGGGGCTTCTGTTTACAGGAGCAGGTATAACAATTATGCCCATCACCTTTCTCCCCAGAGGCTAGACAATGCAGGCCTGTCGTCCTCTTAATGTTCTTTCTGACCACAGTTGCTTTCAACAGCAAGAAGAGGTCTTCAGCACAAACCCTTACTCTTCAGCGGAGAGACCACCTGGCTCCACTTACAGGCTACCTGTTTAACAACACTTTATCCGTAAGCGCCAACTTGCTTTCTAAACTGGGAAGTTGAGATTAGAAACACTAGGAGCACACACAGCAAATGTTTTGTCAGCTAGGAAGACTATTCAATCACAGGAAGCCTTTAAAAAGCAAACAAAGGCATGCCCAAGTTTCTGCCTCACTGTTTCTTTTGAGTATTGTGATTAGATTTAATTTGGGCAGGAGAGGAGTGGCGAAGAACGTTATCATTAGAAATGGTTGCTGAGTTTGCTTAGAATGCAAGTAACATTTTTTCATTCACGTATCTTGCTCCCAATTCTGAAAGGGCATTATTATTAGCATTACTTTTTAAACAATGGGGTGGGACACCAAGGTATGCTTACTTGGGCAGCTCAAAAACGACACCTAGGAACTTCACTGCTGCCTTGTGTAGAGTCACTTTCCGAGTAGTTAAGACTTCAGATTTTCTAGCATTAACAGGTCTGTCACCTGGGCCAACCAGCCTGCTAACCAATTTCTCTTTCACTTTAGGTCAACCGCCAGGTCCCCAGCTTTGGGGATTAGTGGACAATCTCTAAACATGAGTACTGGTTGAGAAATCAGCTTTCCAGAAAAAAAACACAAACAATGGATCAAGTAAATAGCTTTACACTGGAGTTTTACTCGACCCACCCATTGTGACAGCTCCAGATACAAAGCAGGCTTTGGACTGAACCCCTCTCCCCCAGGATGTATTTGTAATCACGGTTGCAGAGTGGCTAAAGGCAAGGATATGAAAGTTTCTGCACAGAACATCTTACATCAGAGCTGAACTTTGGACTCAGCAATCTAGACAAGAAATGCAGAATGAAAATTAGCCAGCAAGGGTCGTGGGTGCACAGCTCTCATGGACAGACACATTAGCACACCGAGGAATAAACCACGCCAGCAATCAAATTAGAATGTGCAAAGCTTGTCAGATTCCTCTAAAAAATGCCATTTGCTCTGCGGTTTTAAAATCATACCAAATTAACCTCCAAGCCCACATGACCTACAGGGCTTTGCAAAACAACAACATATTTACAGCCTCAAGTAATGAAGAAGTCAAGGAAGTTCCAAAGAGAATGTGCTGAGAAGGTGAACATCAGCGCAGCCAACCAATCAGTAAATGCTTCCCAGCACACACACTCACCAAATGCAATCTCAGAGTTGAGCTGCCAGATGTTACCTTTGAAAGGAAGCCAAGCTGGTTTTGTGAGAACACTTGCCAGACAGAAGAAAGTTACTCTTACATTAATAATAATAATAATAATAATAATAATAATATAATAATAAAAAGTCTTCTAGGATGGGTGATCTCTTCACTAGAGAATATGGCCACTGGCCAATGTTTCTCCCAGAGAAGCACTTTAGACCAGCAGTCGCCAACTGGTGGTCGGTGGACCACTGGTGGTCCGTGAGGTCAGAAAGGTTGGCGACCGCTGCTTTAGACTACTTTTCAACTAATGGTTGAGAGCATAAGACTGTGCCAACTTACCCTGGCATCTGTGACCTTGAATTCTCTTAGGATATATTGTGGCATGTTGTATTCAGCCATGGGATCTACAACAAAGTACTGGTATCTTGCAGATCGTTCTGCTGGCCAGTATTGGTGACATTTCTCCTGAAAGGAGAAACGATTCATGTTAACTATACACCATGTAAATAAACTTTGTCTATCATCTAGTTATCTATATAACTCTTTCTCTCATTAATAAAATTCAAGCCCATTCCAGTTGCATGTGACTCATTTTTTCTTTGAACCCATAAGTTTCCTGAGGATAGGGAAATCCTATAGTTCAATCCTTGCCCATAGCATCAAGCACAGTACTTGGAATATAATTGGTGGTAATATATTTCTGTCAAATTGAATACTTCGATAGAGTAAGCATCTTCATACCTACAAGTTATCCAAATAATTACATCAGTCCTAGTCATAAGGTTGGTCCTGTCAATCACACATTGCATCACTTTAGCAGACCTGGACCACTGTGGTTTGGGATGAAGAGAACCATCAAGTGTGAACGGACAAAGAAACCTCTGAATTGATTGGGTCCAATCACTCTAGTCAGCCCAGGCAGTTTTAATGACTGAATGACCTTGTAGAATAATCAAGTCATTTTCCTAGTCCTTTTTCTCTCTCTTTGGGACCTAAAAGCTCGGTTTTAGACATTTCTACAAAGAAGAGAGAGAGATAGAATATCTCAAACAAATATAGCAAAATGCTTACTTGCATCTATTGAATTTAAGGGGTAAGTCTTGATGTATCTCTATTACTATTTTCTGAATATTTTCAGGATAATCACTTTTTAAAAGTGGATCTGAAATTACCTTAGAAAAACAATGTAAATTTCCAACACTTTATTCAATGAGGGTAAATGGTGAGCAAGTACGAATTTGCCTCAGGGATGAAAGTCAAATTACTTCCTACAGAGACATGATGGCCCCTTTGCTCCTGAAACTCCAGCTTGTCCAGAGTGAAAGGAAATGAGGATGTGTTGAGAGTCAGGGCGTAAGTCAAGGAGCATCTGCTTACTTATTTGTCTCTCTGATTGTGTTTCAATGAAAAAAGAAAACTAGATCTTTCTTCAAAACACACAAAGGAAAGAACTGGATGTGGCTTTGTAAGTTAAAAACCAACCCAGAGTAATGAGTGCCCAGTGTTTCAGGAGTACCCTGACTGTCAAAGAATGGCTCTGGCACTCCAGTCATTGACATGAAACCCCCACTTCTCCATGACGGAAATGTCTTATGAGGAGACACTCACTCTGCCCATCTCACGCAGCTTGGTGAGCATCACCACGATGGTGGAGTTGTGTTCCCAGAGCATCCGCCAGAAGTCTTCCGTGGTCTCCGCCAAGGGTCCCTGGGTAGCGATGTAGGCTTTCTGTTGTCTGAATTACCGGGAATGAAAATAGCATGTTAAAATAACCAGAGAACACACAAAGGTTCACATTTGCTATGTAAACATCCAACCCAGTAATAAAACTGAAAATATTTCATGCAATTCAGTAAATGTCCATTAAGATTGTGTCATCAAATAACATTTATTACATTTTGGGGACTTAGCAAAAGAAACGGCTTTGTTAATATTATGATGTATGTCTATCATTATTATTTAAATTTTAGCGCAACACTAATGGCTCAATTTCATGTGCATACAAATCGTTTAGGGAACAGTTGTGGGGCATCAATTTGAAGACATGACTTTTACACAATCTATTAAATTTATGAAATATGGTACAAAACAGCTTTTTTTTTATTAATTCCTTCTGAAGGAAGCGTGCAGGAGGCCAGATTAACAACTCCATGACGGCTTCTTCTTACTTCTATCCAAAATAATAGAAAACAAATACCACGGGATTGACTGCTGACCTACGCAGAAAGAAAATGCTTTGACTTGAGATAAAATTCATTCTGGCTATGAAACTAGGGCACATGCAAATATCAAGGCTCCAGATTGTCAGGGGAACAAGAGTATATACCTGTATCCATCAATAAAACTGGCATTGATGTAATCAGATCCTTCTACTCCTCGGATAGGCTGCAGGCATACCCTTGTGGATTCATATGGCATAATATTAACAAGGCGATTTTTGAATTTATTACATGGAAGATTGGCACTGATGAATCTTGAGGTGTGAGCTTTAGAGCTGGCTAGACGCTGTTGAATAGAAAAAAAAGGAAAAATCTGACAAAGATCATTTTAGCCTATGGTTTGAATGCAGCATACCCGAGATTTCCTCTTTAGATAAAGCTTTGGTTTACTTCAAAGTAAATGACACATCAAACTGCGCTGCCTTTCACTTCTACCTAATGGACTTCCTATAGCCTACTGAATTTTTAAATATTATGTTCTATGGGTATGATCTCTCAGTTTAAATTAGGGTACAAAAGAGCTCAAGGTATTAGGAAGCATGGAATAGAAGAGGAAAAGAGGAAGAAAGTGTTTTATAGTCAGACACCTGAGGGAGGGCAAAGTCAAGTGAATCTTGTCACTTGACAAATTTGAAAGGGTCAGAAAGGAAAGCCAGGACTCAGACAATCTGCAAATGACTTGCTCCTGAATTACCACATCATCCTCAATGTTATACCTTAAATTCAAGCTCCATTCCTGTGACATTCTCTCCTGTCTCTATTTGTGTCAGCTTCTGAATGTAGGCATACAGGTTTCTCGCCGGCACTTCGGTATTTCCACAAGTCACTGCTTCCAACAGCGCATCGTGGATAAAGATGTACTGGTCTTCTGTTTGCACCATGTAATTCCTCTGGGCTCTCATTAAAGTTACATGGCCATAAATATCTGCAGTTTTTTCATGCTTTATTCTTTCTAACATGGCATCTATTACAATGAAACAACCAGTCCGGCCAACTCCCGCACTACAAGAAAGACAAAGAGAAAGGTTTAAATAAATATTTTAGGAAATTAACATATAATATAAGCATTTTCATTATTCTTGTGAACTAGGTTTCCAACCCATTAATTCTACTCAAATGGCTGTTGTGATGATTTTGGAGCACTCTAAAGTCAAGTATTATCAAGTCGCCATAACCAATGGGTAGGGAACAATGTACCAAGTGAAATTAGTTTGATTTCAACATGTGAAAATATTAAATCCATAATTACTATGCTCTTTGATCACATCATACAAACTAGACATTATTTTGAAACCATTATGAAAAAAAAAACCACTAACATTTAGGCTGTTTATACTAGAAAAATATTTTTAAATGGTCAGTATCTAACTAGGCTATATATTTTTGCAAACCATCTTAGGCTATTTTAGTTCAATTGACAGAAAAAGAACTAGTAAATCACTTGACTTGAAATATTTCATATTTTAAAAGTCAGCAAAAAATTCTAAAACCAACCTAGTTTGAAGTGTGTAATTAAAATAGTAAAATGTTGTTGCACACTAAAAATAGTGCAGGGTATTCTCAGTGGAGAAAAATCCTTAATAAAGAGCAAGCCCTAGAGAGTGTGGGCGTGTTTCTAGTTTTTACTCCCTTTTCTTTCAGAGTTGAATATATTTTGAAATTCCAGGTGAAATTCAAGTATTCTCTGTGGGAAAATTAAAGCTCCACTCTTAGTCTGAAGACATTCTGAGGCATTTTATAAACTCCATCCCTTTTGGACTTCATGGGTCATTTTTCAGTTGGTAGAAACTGATTCAAAGAAGAGGAGGTGAGAGAGTCAACAAAGCACAAAGACAAGATCTGCCGCTGCAAGGAGACAATCTAACCTACTTAACTGGATCACAGGGTCAGGTAGTAGAAACATTGGAATTTCCTCCTGTGTTGAAAAGTAAATTAACAAAATAACACATCTGTGTTCTTAAATCTCAAGGGGAGCCTTCTTTATCTCTTATCAAATCATTTAGGCTGAGTCTATTTATGTATCAAGTATGCTTGAATAGAAAATGCTTGGTCATGGATGGTTACCTGGCTGGGAAACATGTAATCAATAGGTATATATCACCAGCTTAGATACCATGCAACAGATGGCCTCCTTCAATCACTACATGCCACTGTCTCCCATATGTGTTCATTTATGTGTGCATCTGTCCATCTCTTCATTCAATGGACAATGAAGTACTTTGCTAGGTGACAGAGGGGATACAACATTAGAGATGACTTAGGATGTCCTACCTTAAAGATCTCAGAGTCTACTCTACATAATTATTTATAAGACAAGAAATAAAGGATATTTTGGGCGTGATATGGCATTTGCACCAAGACTGAAGAACAGAAAGGATGGTGAACTGAGGTGGCTGAATAGTAAAAGAGAAGGAATGGCTTTTGCAGTTGTACTGCTGGCTCTGGGAGCTCCATGTGACACTTTCTAGACCTGGTGAGGCACCTATGCAGGGAACATAAAGAATGCCAAATGAGTTTAATGAGCATGAGGGTGCCTGAGTCAACTTAAATGGCAATTTCTCTCCAGCCAAATAGCTGCAAGGTGGTAAGTGAGCATTTTGCAACAAGTAATACTTTTAAACTACTGAGCAATATAGACCAAATCCAGCTTCCATACAGGAGACCTGAAGTTTGTGGACGAGGTTACGTGGGATGATGATATGACCGCTATTTAAAAATTGCTTACATCTCTTCATGTCCTGTCAGGCACAAAAAATGACTGTCAGGATCTAGTCAGAGAGCCTCTGGATATGATTCTAAGACTCCATTCAAGGTTTAAACCACAAAATGACATCTGAGGTGGAATGTAAAATACTTCTGGGACACGGAGCCTTAGAAATGACAGCACATTTGTTAGTACAAAACAGTTGGGAAACCCATGCACTGAGAACCACAACGCCCCGCTTTATTTGGTTGGTTCTACCACATAAACCCGTGAAATGGTAAGTTTTCCCCGATACTCCCCACCCTGACAATCTGCACCCTCCCATCCCCCAGCAGGACTCATCACCCCATGTTCCAGATCCCCTGCTGTTGTAACACTCTACTACTGCAGTCCCAGTCACAACAAAATATTAGTTAGTCTGCTAGGGCCTCATCCACAAGTCATAGAGCATCTCCTGGGAGCAGAAACTGCATTTCTGTTCCCTTGGTGTGCCCTGCACCAAGCATGCAGTCAGTGCTCACCAATGTTGAGGAAGTGAATGGATGAGTCATTGGCACGGCAGGCCCTCTGTAATGAGCAGCCCACCCAGATTCAGTGAGCCTACTGCGAGGCAGGGCTCTCCAGTCCGTGAGAGAAATCCCACATAAGACCACAGTTCAGAACTATGCAGAGTCCACCTGAAGGTTGCGCCCCCATCCCTTGATAGGCAATAGAGAGGTAAATGCTTCGAGCCATTTCCATGTCTTAATCTCTTGATATGCCACTGCATGGCCATGAAAAGAAACTTAGTAAGACTTAACCTGGAAAAGGGAGGCAGCCCCCATGTTTGGCAGGTTCTAAGACCATGAATAATATATATTAAACCACACAATACACATAATAACTGAGTCCTAATATGTCAAGTCAATTCTAGATAATGGCAAGAATATTTTCTCAAAATATGCCCCAGGGACCATTCCAAATGTGTGGATTATGCATAGTTCTATATGCTGGCAGAAAGATACCACAGAATCTTGCAAAATTGTTAGGAATAGCTCTAGATCCAAGCGATATCAACCTTTTAATGGTGGTAATGAAGCATTTTGTTCCCTAAAAAATAGGGAGGGAAAAAAAATCAAATATGTGCCTGAGGTCTAAATCCTGAATTGTGGGAAAACAAAAAAGAGAGATTATGACTGGTGAAAAACCTACTTTTTCTCCCCCAAACATAAAATATTGTTAGCTGCCCAGCCTTGGTGTTCAGATGGAAGATGGGGAAGGAGCAGATTCTTGGAACTTGTGAGTTATCTCTTCTCTAAAATAAAGAGTTCTTAAGGGTTTTAGATGGGAGAGGTGTCTCTTAGCTTGAAGCAAGACCATGAGATTCAAGATACTTTTTCCAGATACCAATGGCTAAATGCCCTTGAGAAAGTCACTTAACCTTTCTCCTGTTTTTCTTAAATTCTGATAATTAACATAATGATAATGTGTGAATAGTGATGATTAACATAAAGGAAGAGGCAGTTACTTTGTAGGTACAGAATCCAACCCCTGAAGCTGACTACAAAGAACAGACAATGTTAAATCTGGGAAAATTATGATAGAATCACCACTGGATAATTTAACATTAGGCTTTCAAAATCTTGCTTTACCCTACCTCCTTGAGCTGCTTCCCTTTTCTTTTCCTATTTCCAATAAATAATATCTAAGGTTGGAGGAATTTTCTGCTTTCCCATATACTGGGATGGTAAATGAGATGGCAGTAAAATGCCTTCCTACCCCAGGGCATGGTCCCTGGGAGGCATTCGGCAAATATGTCCATTTCCTTTTCCCTTCTGTGAGTCATAACATTCGGGAACTTCCCTGAACTCATTCCTAGTGCTAGTAGCAGATAGTCAAACAGGGATTCAAATGCAGGCTCTGAGATGCTACACTTTACACCACATTTCATGGGACCGCCATTGTTTCACATGGCTTTCTGTCATTTGGGGCAGCGACAATTGTCAAATACAGTGACTTTCTTGTGGCGCACCCCTCAATAACATCCCTTTAGTACTGTTTATTCTAAATGCAGTTTTCTTGAAAAGTCTTTCTTGGTTTCTAAGATACCGATTGGGGGAGTACGGGGAACGTCAGAGATAATTCCTTTGGGGTCGATGGTAGGAAGGGAAAAATTTTTATAATTATCTCAAACACAAAATAAGCTGAAACATGTAACACATAACAGTAGCAAACAACAACAACAAAAAAAACTGTGACTCTGTAATGGTTTATAGACTCCATGACCTTTTAGAAGTTCTATCAAGTTGGAAAGGAAAAACAAAGATCAACCTTGTTATCTTCAGAAATCTACCAAAACTCCTTTAGATTGCTCCTCAGTAAGGAATATTCCCCCCATTAGATCCATGTGCTGATTATTCCCCTGTCTCTCTGGATTTTTCCATCTGTAGCTCTTTCCCTAATTTGAATACCCCTGTCAGCCCCCAAAATGTAGTTAAATATCCCCAAAGTTCTGTCCTGCTTTCTCTCATTCCCCTTCATGGTTCAGCAATACAATGGATTTCTAAAGTGATAGCATAAGGGAAGACATCTATTTCAAACTACCCTCAAATTTCTCAAGAAATATAAAGATTCTCAGATTAATATCTTCTCTGCTCAAATCTGCTCTTCTCACTCTCACTCTTTCAGGTCTAAAATTTAAGAACCAGCTTAGCCTGTGTTTGCCTCTTTCCCTGCACAATAATAAATTATACATTTCTGTGCATCCGACCTCTACAATTTTATTCAACTATTCATCAGTGGTGTGCTGGAGCTGGCAAAAGCCAATTGCTCAAATGAAAATTTCTGCTTAAATATATATAAAAATAAAGGTAATATTCAAAACACATTGCTTCTAATTACTTTACATGTATGCTCTCGAGGTGGAAAGATATTATATAATGGGGTGCTTCTGAGTATCATTCAGTGCTGTCACATTTGTAGCTTGAAAATGGCCATGGTGGGAGTACTTACACCAAGTAAATTGGTAAACATCCCCGCCCCCCCCCGCCCTCCAGACACTAGTGAGCGGAACTGGTTGTTATACTTTATTAGCGCAGACTGACTATCCTAATTCATCCATTCCCATCACCTAGGGACAGACAGGAAAGTGCCTATTATTTTGTTCTTCCATCCGCAGTTGCTATATACTCTGTCATATGCCTCTGCAGGCAATTACCCACACATACTTACTGAGTGCTTACCATGTGCCAAACTCAGGAAAGTGGTGAGCAAAACACGTATGGGCCTTTCCTCAGGGAAATTACAGGTTGGGGGGGGG